CTGCAAGCTGGGAAAACAGACTCTCCCTTCCTTGTTTTTCTTTCATTCTGTGTCTTTCAAGGTGAAATCGTGGGAATTATCTGCAGAACAGCCTTGGAAACATCCCTGTTTACTGTACTTTCAGGGCACTTAAACCTGCAGGATTTAGGCAGATGCAGCTTTTTCTCTTGAGCACTGTCAGTGCAGAGTGTTGAAAATGAAGTTTAATAGCTACCAGAGGAGCTGGATGCACCAGGAATAGTCATGGAATTGTTCAATGATTTGTGACTGTCACCCAAGAACACAGCTGGAGTTTTCCAGGAGCTGTTTGGTTGCACGTGAACGATCGAGCTCAGACTTCCAGGAGTCTTGAACTCCCATCCCTGGAAGTGTTCCAGGTCAGGTTGGATGAATCTTGGAGCATCCTGGGCTAGTTGGAAGGTGTCCCTGCCCGTGAGATGAGCTTTAGGGTCCCTTCCAACCCAAACCATTCTGGGATTCTGTTTATAGCTTGTCAGTTAAACTCACTTTTCCTTTGAAATCCATGGAGCCGGTGCTGGCCAAAAGCTTCTCATTGGTGGTGGTTTGGTGGAAACCTCCTGGAGTGGGGTGAGGTCATTTTAAACAGGCAAAGTTTGGTGTTTTTATTGGGGGGGAGGGACTTTTCTCCTTCTAAATGTGTAAAACCCACAAATGAGCAAACCTGTAACAAACCTGTCCTACGTCTCATCTCTCCTGAGTTTGGCATGATCAGGTGTGTTTGCTGCTTTTCTTTCATATTTAGAGTTCATTTAGAGGGTTTTCCTGTAACAAGCAACATCTTATTTAAATGAAACTAATAAAGCAAGTGAAGAAGCTTCCATTGCAACTGTTCGTCTCCTAATTAAAGATTAGTTCTGTCAAGCAAGCAGTTTCTGGCTGTTCTCCTCTGCAGGGGTTTCACAATATTTCTTACTCATCTGGGCACAAGTTGTAGTAATTTCTACTTGCAGACACACACACAAGCTTCATTTCAGGCATGTGAGCAGTCCTGCTGAAGGAAATGGGGCTGAAGTTAGGCACATGAATAAATATTTCCAAGGTTGAGGCCCTCGCCTGAATCTAAATATTTTTTCTCTTTGATCAGCTTTCCAGATAGCAGATACTTGAATTCTGGTAATATTTTAGTAGGGGAGGAAAAAAACCCCAACATGGTTATCTGAGTGCTGTGCTATTTATGGTCAACTATATTTTCAACCTCCCGGGCTAGAATGGAATGCTTTGTACTGTTGGAAGCTGGGAATCCTTCCTGCTCTGGTGTGTTTTGACACATTAGGTCTTAAAACTATCTTTTTCTGCTTGGCTTCAAGGTAGTTATTAGGCACTGGCCTGTGTGTGTGAGCTAACTTGAAGTATAACTTTTAATCCACTCTGTTACTACTTGTAGGTGTATTTTCCTCACTTGGCTTTACAGTAAATAGATTTTCCTAATGCACCATGACTAAGAAGACATACTTTTAGTAATTTGCTGTGCTTAAATCGTTTAAAATATTTGACCCAGTCTTTAAAAAAAAAAAAAACCAACCAAAAAAAAACCCCCAAAAGTGACTTGGCTTTTAATTGTGGCTGGTATTTGGGAGAGTGGAACAACTTGTTTGAAAATGTGCTGATGTTCATCAGTTATCAGACAAAATGTCTACAGGGTTTTTTTTTATCGTGGATGGAGCCTAAACTTGCCAGCTCCGTTTGGTATTAAGTCTCCAGCTGTTAAACCCCACCCTGCTCTGTCTTGCTGTTTACAGTAGGAGATGAAATGCATTAAATATGTAATATGTGCTGCTGAACAGCAGTGAGGGGATTTTCGGTGTTGCTTTCAAGCCTAATCATATTTCCAAGTGAAGATAAGTGGTGCTGAAACGCAGAGAGTTGCTGGGTGGACTCGTGGGAGCTGCTCTGTGTTCTCTGATTGTGTTTTACCCACTCCGCTTCTTGGCTGTAGTGACACGGTGTTTGGGAAATGAGGAATGGAAATGAGGGATGTCTTCAGCAAATCAAGGAATTCCAGGTGGTATTCCAGGCAGGAAGGGGGGGAAAGAGGAGGAACCTTGCACCGAGTGTGCCCAGCAAGGACCTTAAATCAGCTGACTCTTCCACCTCCAGTTTCTGTGATTTCATAACTCAGTGCCCAGCAATGATTTCAGGTCTGGGAGAGGAGTTTTTCCTGGGGGGGGCTGGGGAGCTTCACCTTCAGCCTGGCTGGACAAAGCCCATCCCCTTCCTACCCCGCTGGTTTTAGGGGATACCTGTGAAGCAAAGCCAGGGCAGAGCCTGGAGCTCTCCCAGCCTGCCCTGCCTGGTGTGACCTGCTGCCTGCCCCTGCTTCCCCACCATGTCCCTGCCTCCCTCCCTGCTCTGGAGGAGAAAGAAAGGCAGGAAGCTGGCGGGCAGCCAAGGGGCTCCAGAGCTTCCCGGAGCTGCTCCCGGCGCGCTCGGCAGCCGCGTGGGATGGGGGGACACGGCCCCAGGGCCTGGGCTGGGGGCTCTTCCCAGGACACTGGGATCCTCCAGAGCCAGCTGGCTCCTGACCTCTTGGACTGCCCAGCTGTGAGCTCTGGGCTAGGAAAAGGAGGGTTTTTTGGCTGCCACTCGGCAGGAACTTCAGGTTCACCGGTAACGTCAAAGCACGGGAAAAATTCCAACCGTTTCAGTGCCGGTTTATGCACAGCAACTTCAGGGTCCCTTCCTAAATAATTAACGTCACTGGCCTGAAAGGAAAGTTTCACCCAGCTTCTGGACCTCTGAAACAGAACATTTGTGCTTCATCCTTGAGCAGATGATGAATATCTGTGAACCAGCCAGAACGACGGTGAACTCACTTTCTGCCGCCCATAAACCGTGTGTTGCTGCAGGAGCAGAGCCTGCAGCTCTGGGTGCTGATAAGAAACACTGTGGGATAAGGGTTGTCACTTAAATGCTTCATTAAAATACTTGGGTAGTAGTGTTGGGATTTTTTTTTTTTTTTTAATGCAGCTCCAAAGTTCAGATGCGTTAGATTAAAAAATGTGTAAGATGTAATTCATCTTAAGCATCTTTTCCTGCCTTTCCCTGGACTCCTTATTTTTTTTTTATCTTTTCTGCTTTTCAATGAAAGACTTGACTGCTGCTGTATCTGTTGACTGTGCAGGCAGGGCTGGATTGGCCTGAGGTGACTTTTGGTTTCTTTCTATGGGATCCAAGCTGTCTGTCTTGCACAAAACTGTTCTTTACTGGCCAAAATTTGTAAGTGGAGGCCTGGGTGCTAAAGAGATCTGGCTTTGCAGGTAGAGCAGAGCGAGGAGAGGCTTGATTTGAATCAGAGTGGATTTCCCAGACTTTTAAGTTTAAAACAGAGCTTTTGAGGGGGGCAGGAGGGAAGAGGACTATCACTTCTTCTCTTCAATTAATTAACTCCTAAAATTGCTGCTTTGCCCATAAGTTATGCAATCACAGGCCCCACCTACCCCCTTAATTTGGAAGCTGCTCTTGCAGTTGCACCAATTTTTGATGCTGTTATCTAAAAGATGGCGAGTGTCTTGCTGTGTGTAATTATTTTCAGGAATAGACAGACAACATTTTAATTTCACTTGCCTAATGTGTCATCAGCTGCTCGTTTCAGAGTTGCCATATTAGTGCATGTTTGCACAGGGGATTGGCATGTGGGAGCTGGCCAGAGTTTTGGGTGGATCCACACTTTAATGGCACAGCTATTATTCCAAGAGAGGGATTAAGCTGAGCACTTCTGTGCAGCCAGTTATGTTTTTCAGGTAATGGGGAGGGAGTTGTTGGAGCTTTAAGGCTGTGCTGGTCCTGGCTGGGTGTAGTTGTCGAGGAAAGGAGGGTAGATGGGGAGGTGACAAAGGTGTCCCTTGCAGTCTTGTGGTGATGCTCAAGGAATCTTGGTTGTAGAGCTCTGAAGAGCCCTTGGAGGAGGGATTGGTTCTGTGTGTTGGACAGGGCCATTGCCCAGCTCAGAATCACAGAATCGAGGTTGGAAATTAGAATTTAGCTGGGGAAGGACCTCAAAGATGGTCCGGTCCAAGCCGTGCCCGATCACCCCCCGTGTCCCCCAGCCCAGAGCACTGAGTGCCACAACCAGTCCTTCCTTGGACACCTCCAGGGATGGGGACTGCAAACCCCCCTGGGCAACCCCTTCCAATGCTTGAAAACCCTTTCCATGAGGAAATTCCTGCTGATGTCCAACGTGACCTTCTATATATTCGCACACTGCTCTAAATGTATGTAATGCTTTGTAGCTGAAGGACCTAAAAACATTAAACAAGTAGGAATGGAGTTAAACTTGTGAAAAGGTTCTGAAAAAGAAATAATTCTGCTTCATGAAATCAGAAGCTGGATGGCAAACACCCTGTTCTGTCAGTTTTCTTCAGTAATTTAAGGGAAAAAAAAATCCTGATTTCACAAGTCCCACATGTTTCCCTTACTTAAAAATACATATACACCTCCTTTAACTGTGGGTTTGTTGCTTTTGTTATCTGTGTATATAATAACATTTGGAATAGTTAATATAATTTCAGGTTAACTCTGTTGCACTTGTCTCAAAGATGGCAAGTTCACAGAGTTTCATGGAAATAGAGATGTTAGATTTCAACACGTGCTGTGTTACTGGGAAGGAGAGTTTTCATTTAGTTTGGACCTTTAGTAGGGCAAAAAAATGAAGGAATGTTAATTTTTAGTGTAGGGAATTAATTGTTATGAGAGGAAGATGATCCATGGGCCACCACGGTGTTCTGAAGAAGAAGGAACTGCTGGGTGCTGGATTTGAGAGCAGTCTCTTCTTAATTCTGTCTGAAAATCTTTACTTAACTGAATCAGCTCTAAATGGACTAATAGTTGGCTGGAGAAAAAAAGAAACAAAGATTGGTTTTCTTGTGGTGGTATCACAGCAGTGTAAAATAACTTTGTATTTAAGCATTAGTGTTGGTATGAAGGATGATACTGAGAAACAAAAGTCCATTAAACTTCTGCTCTTTTTCTTCTTTTCAGGTTTCCTCTCAAAAAACCTACGAGGTGAGTTCCTGAAATTTCACTTTCTATCTTCACTGCAGCATTTTTGAGCGGGGGGGAGGCTTTTAAAAGGAAAAATAAATATGTGTACTGACGCAGAGCACGGCACCCATTGCAGATGGGAGGAAATTAAATGTCCAGATGGGGACAAGGTGCCAAAAATATAGTTGGTGGTGAACTTAAAAGTGCATGGCATGGTGTTACTTTGCCTCCTGTTACATCACTGCAGGCTCATCTTACCTGAGACTTGAGATGGTAAAGGGACACTTGAGTTGGTACATGATGTACTGGTGGTGGGGGGGCAGGGAGGGGGGGAGGAATATTCTAAATCTTTAATTTTTGCCTGCAAAGATATTGAATGTTTGCTGGGGAGGAGGCAGAGTTAAGATTGCAGGAGGTTTATCTGCTTTCTGTAGCCTAATTTTATTTTGCTTTTAAAATTGAGTGATAAAAGAGAACGCACTCGCTGTCGCTAATTCTGAAGGTTAGCAAAGGCTCTTTCTAGAACCTTGGACACACTCCCAAAGCTTCCGAGGGAGATCATTTTCCCACTTGAATCCAGCCGGGAAATGAATTTTTAAAGCGAATTTAATGCCCGGGTTTGAATCTCGATTTCTCGTGGGCAGCCAGTCCCCAAGCTCAGGTTATTTCTGGGAGCCCCAGCAAGTCCTCTGTGCTCTGGTGGTGAGGATTTGTGCCTTTTTTTTTTTTATTATTTTTTTATTTTCCTGACACAGACACGGCAGCATTTTGAACAGAGAGTCTCCAGCTGACAAGAAGCAGAAGGTTGAGCGCTGCAGTAGCACCCACGACTTCGATCCCACAGGTAACAGTCCTGAAAACCCCCAAATTTCCGCCTGAAAAGCGCTGTGGGAATCAGGTTTAAAGACTGTTTTGGGGTTTAAAAACTGGTTTAGGTTTAAAAACGATTTTAGGTGTAAAAACTGATTTTAATGTGCAAGAAAAATGCGATTTTTCAGGGTTGTGTTGTGCTTTTTCAGAGCTGCTGAGTAAACAGTTGGAATTTGCACTTTCAGGAAAGTCAGCCTGAAATTTCGGGAGGCAAATGCTGTAATTAGTTGGGATTTAGTTAAGTGTGGCGCTGGGGATGTTGCAGGCTCACCTGGGGCTGGGGTTCCCTTGTTTGGGTTTAAGTTTTGGGGGGTTTGGTTTGGTTCTTTCGGGCCTTAGTGGATTTGGATCCCTCTCTATCACTTGCAAAGCGAATTTGTATTTTCCAACATGATACATTTTAAGATCAGCATCTCTTTTGAAAGGATGTGCTCTCCTATTTTTTTTTTTTTTTAACCTTCCCGAAGGCTAAATTAGGGTCAATTTGGGCAGCTTGTCCAGAACTGTCTGGGAAATGAGGGATTCTGCCCCTCTCCCTGAAACCCTAACCCAGTGACTCTGTGTGTGTTCATTAAATGCATGACAGGCTCTTGTCTGAGCCTCCTGGCCCCTTGCAATGTGCATTTTTCATGTCTGTGCATTGTGCTGTCCCTGGGGCTGGTGGAAGGAAGGCAGGAGAGTTGAGTGGTACAAGTTGTAGGATGTGTGGTTTTGGTTTTTTTTTTTTTACACAAGACATTTGGAAGCTGATGTTTATAAACCAGCCTGTTAATGGTTTCTGTCGCTGGCTGCATGACTCCTTCCCAGTGTGCACAAAATAAATGAAAATGGCCTTTAAATGCCAGTTAAAAAATTCCTGGAAGGGAGAAAATTAGTGCTTTGTCTTCTTTTCCTTTGTCCTTGGAAGTGGGTAATGTAAAATTATTTCAGGTTGGGGGAGGTCTTGGGCTCTGAAGGAGAAGGAATTTATTTTCTTCAGAAACAAACTTCAGGAATCCTCTAATCTTAATTTGATGAAAGTCACTCCAATTTTGAGAGCTGTTATCTGGCTCCGCTGTTATGATGCTTGTGCTCTGGTCTGCTAGATGAACCTGCACTGCAACCTTCACAGAAGGATTTCCTTTTTAAGGGGTGAATTCAGGATGCTGAACTGCTGTGCCTGTGTTGATTATTTATTTTGGAGCTAAAAAATACCAGAGTTTCTGTGCTTGGACTGGTTTTTTTTTATCCAGAATCCTCTCTGTAGTTATTGCAGAAAGCATCTTTTATCGTGTCCTAAATTCTGTAACAAGATTCTGTGTGGTGTTACCTGTGCCTTCATTATTCACCCCTTATTCCAAGTGTTCCACCTGTGTTTTGTTCCCATCTTATTTGTGTGTGTTTTGCACGATTTAACCCAATAAATCAGCCTGTGGTTCGTTTGTTTGTTTGTTTGTTTGTTTTTTTTCATGGATTTTTTTTTTTCTCATGTTTGGTCTCCATATTTTCTATATCTCTCTCTCCTTCTCTCCTGCTCTCGTGCAGAAAGCTCCTCCAAGAAGACAAAGTCTAGTTCTGAGGAGAGTAGATCCGAGACATATGGTAAGCTCAAGCAGCCTCACCCCTGGGCAGCTCCATGCTTTTCCTGTCTGTGCATCCCAGGCTTTCCCACCCCTTCCCATGATCTGCATGGTCGGCTCTGCAGCAGGGAACTGGGCAAACTGGGCTGAAAAGTGTTGCTTTAGTGTAATCAGCTTCTAGTTTTTGTAGTGGCTGGAAAACTAACCTGGCAAGTTGTCACCTGGGTTATCCTCCTGTTACCCACCCGGAGAGTTTGTGCCACAGTATAGGGGGGTTTGGGGCACTCTTGGACCCCAGAAGGGTTTTGTGGTTGTGGAAAAACTTTTGCCTTGCTCTGGCTGTGGAGGTCAGAGCGTCTTTTTTTGCATTATTTGTAGGTTATCTTCACTCAGTTCCTTCCCATCTTTCACAGAGTATCTGTAAATAAATAAAAAAAAAAGTGTAAGGATATGAACTTCCCCCTTCTTTGTGGCAGAGGGAGTGAGTGACCTTGCAGTCCTGTGTTGTGTATCACTGCTGTGTGGGGGCTTGTGCACTGGAATAAATAGCACATAACAAAGGGTTTGGGATGGCAGTGTCCCCACACCTCGTGATGTTGTCACTACACCATGATGGGCCTGTCTGCTCCTTTCCCCCACATCTGTCAGCCTGGGACACTCCCCATCCTGGCTGTGTTCAATGACTTGTCCAATTTCCAGCCTCTAAAGATGTTTGCACTCGTGTTAGAAAGTAGAAGGCAATAAGTTTTCACAAGCTGATGGGTTCTTTTGGATCCTGCAGCTTGTAAAGACCCTTGGACCTGGACTGAACCTGCTGCATCTCGTGTTTCTAAGTGTGCATGTCCTGACTCCAGCCATGAGTTGCCTTTCTTTCCCTTCCCCTTTCCCCTTCCCCCCCCCCCCTTCATGTTTAAAACACTCTGTGACACTTTCTGATTTTAATCTGTTAAGAAAGTTGCTGCTGCATAACCTGCTGTGGGCTTTTGGGCACTTGCAACGACTCTTCCAAGGATCAGCTTTTATCATTCCACTGGAATAAAACTGCCAGGTGTTCATGGCTGGGATCCAGCCTCTTAAACCACCAGAGTAATACAAAGTGATGCTGTCATGGCTCTGGCTGTGAGGAAACACTGACAAGTAACAGCGAAGAAAAAAAGCCTGAACCCAAAAAAACCCAATAAAATATAAAAGCCAAAAAAACCCCCCCTCTAACCCACAAAAACCCCAATAAAAAAATAAAAGCAAAAAAACCCTCCAAACCCCAAAAAACCACCAACTCTGAAGATTTCCTTCCAGACCAATCTTAGGAAAAGCCCTTTAGCTGGTGCAGTTCAGGGACGTGTGTCCTGTGAAAATGAGATCCCCCTGCATCCCCTGGAATTTTGAATCACACACTTCTTTCTTTTTCCTTTAAGGAAAAGTAACATGACAGTCATGTTCCTCGGGGTGTGAGAGTGTTCCTCAGTAAACAGGTTTGGAGAGGGCCTTGGAAAACTGTCTCAGGGAGGCTTGGTTTGCTGCAGCTTGTAATTCTTCCTGCTGCGCTCAGAGGGAGCGAGCAGGGAAATTGAGGGAATGAGCAGGGAAATGATCTGCTTGGACAGCAGGGTTTTGGGGGATGATGCTCCTTGTGGGGAAGAGTTCTCCCCTGGCAGGTGGATGCTGGTTACTGGGGTTGCCCAGATCCCTGTCCCGAGCTCCTTTTCCCCTGGCGCTGCTCACCCCCGACACGCCAGAGGTGCTGCTGAGCTGCTGGGGGTTAATTCCAGGAAACATTTGGTGTGTTTGATGGAATGGCTGCCTGTTTGCTCTGCTCCCTCAGCCTGTGCAGCGTCCTGGGTTTTCACGTGTGGCAGAAAGAAAACGCGACTTCCTAACGTAAGCTTTGACTTCCTGCAGATGCTCTACCCGCGGCCGGGATCTGTGGGAGCAGTTTCCACTCATCCTTCCTTTCCAGTGGCCTTTGCTGGGTTGGACCTGGCCCTGCCTTTTGTCTCTGCCCTCTCTTGCTTTTTCCCTGTCCTGTGGTATGTGTGGAGAACTCTGCTGTTTGCTTTGGATGGGCCCAAGCTATTCCAAAACCTACAAGTAGAAATGCTGGGCTGATATTTTTCTCACTGGTAACTGGCCGATGGAAAGGGGGTAATAGAGAATTCTGGAATGACAGCACGAAAAGGAGGTGTGGCTTTGTGTGTGTGTGTGTGTTTGTTCTCACCTCTTGAAATTTTTAATTAAGGAGCGCGAGAGCAGAATTTCTTCAAGTATATGAGTGGCTCTGGGGGGGGCAGAGTGGTTAGGCAGGGAAATTGGTCTAATATACCAAAGTTAATTTACAGTGACGTGAGCTCAGAGTGGGATATTTTCTTTCATAAGTGCAATTATATCTGTATATTCAACAAAATTTAGATGATCAGCAGAGAGACTGAGTGTGGGTTCAGATATGCTGTAATTTACTAATTAGTCCCATGATCTCCCACGATACTTAATACTTGTTTCTCCAAGTAGAATTTTCATCTCTTAAATGAACTTAAAACTGGAATTAGCTCTCAGGGTGGTAGGTGAGATAGCAGTTTCTCTTTTTTTTTTTCCCCATGATTTGTTTGATGTCAAAAAATATCTTCCTTTATTTTTAGAAATGACCAGTTACTGGCCTAAATATTCACCCGGACTTTACACAGACTCTTTCACTTGTGATAAATTTTGTTTCTTTGTTTGTTTGTTTTTTTGGTTGTTGTTTTGAATCACCAGGTTTGAGCTGTTTTTAAATTGAATTTACTCTTCCTGGCTTGTTCCTGGCAGTTCTTATCAGCTTTGTGTTACTGGTCACTATTTTTCCAGACTTTTTAAAGGACTTTTGGGAGCCCCTCATCACTACCCTTAGAATAGCCAGGAAGGGCTGGGAATGCAGGGAGGGCTGGACCACAGGGGTTGAATGTGGTGTTGCCATGGGAGCAGATAGTCCTATTTATCACGTTAAAATACATGGTTCTTTTTTTTTTTTTTTTTTTTTTTTCCCTTAAAAGGTTACCAACCCTTGTTTTATGGGCAGTGTTCAGTGCCATTGTTAATAACAATTTTATCAGGGCTCTGTGGACTGCACTGTTCAAACAGTATAGTTTTTGCACTGACTTTGCATGACTTCTGTTAGTGGAGGAATCTGAGGAATGCTGCTTATATGGCATTTGGTATGAAATCATGGTAATAACTAGAACTGAAATTCAGAATTTCATCTGTCCTTGTGAAAGCTGATGGTTCTGTTTATTCCGTGGAGCAGCATTTCTGAAAACACTTCCTAGAAAGAAGGCTTCCCAAATGAAGTGAAACATTTGGGACATTCTCAAATCCCCAAGGAGTTTGTTTTTGGGGTTTTTTTTTGTTTGTTTGTTTATGGCATGATTCATTTCAAATCGCCCCATTAAACTGCCTTTTCCTATTGTGGCCTCTCGTGGCCCCAGGGGAGGTTCACAAATCTCAGCTCCCATCGCGCCCTGCAGAGCTGGAGCAGAGGAAGAGCCGTGGTGTGTTATGGGAGATGGGATTTGTGCCTCGTGGAGTCATGGTTTGGGTTGGAAGGGACCTTAAAAATCATCCCATCCCACCCCCTGCCACGGGCAGGGACACCTTCCACTAGCCCAGGTTGCTCCAAGCCCTGTCCAACCTGGGCTCTCCATTCTCTCTGGTGAGTCAAGTTTTCAGAATGAAACTCTGCTCTGTTTGTTGGGAACCGCTGATGAAACTCCCTGTTTTGTTGAAAAACTTCCAAATAGTAGAAGAGAAGATGAAGTAAATGACCTTCTTACTCGAGGAGCTCTTGGGAGAATGGAAATGTGTCTGGCACGACTGGCTGAGACATTAATTTTAGCCATGGGGTGTCAATGACCTTGAGAAGTTCGACTTTACCCTTCCCCTACTCTCCAAAGGCACTTGGATCAGGGCTGGAGAATGGAGAGGGACTAGTGCCACCTACTGAAGAGTGGATCCTCTTTGCTTTACTTGCAATCTTTTCTGTCTGCTTTCATTTTTAATCTCCAACCTCTTCAGCTCCAGCCCACAGTTGGCTGCTCTGCTGTGCTATTGGCTTGAGGCTACACCACTGAGTTTGGGGAATTGCCATCTGCATGAGGACAAAAAAAGATGAAGATTTATTGTTTTCTCCACAGAATTTTATGAATCCACTCGAGGCACAAGCACGTAATCTGATTTTGTGTGCTTAAAGCTTGGTTAAAGTGATGTCTCCTCACTTTGTGCCATCAGGATACTGTCAAATGAAAGCAAGCGTGGGAATAACATTATTAGTGATTTGATTTTCAGCACTGTCAATGGTTGGTTCTGCTGGCATTGTAATATTCACTAAGTTTCATCTGGAAGGAGTGAAATAGTTCAAAATGAATGGCTCAGGATTTTCATCCAGGGAACACAAAAGGGAAAAAGGGGAGTGAAAAGCTGGTTGTCACCTGGTTTAGTTGGTAGTTTATTGTCCCTGTGTGTTCCTGTGATACCCAGGCGTGACAGGAACAGCTCTTGGAAACTTCACATCGGTGTCCTTGGGCTCCCAGTGGTTTGTGGCTTTCCTGTGAGTCCATTCCTGAGTGTCTGATGAGGTGTTCAAGGTACCAGACGTGGGTTATGAAAACATTGCTGCTCTGCTCTCGAAATTCCACCACGCAGCACCTTTCAAAACTGAAGGTGTTTTACTTAAAGGACAAGAAGGGAGCAAATGGCAGATTTAGGGGGTTCAAGAGAGCACTTCAGGGTTGCTCTGGTTTTTTTAGCGTGCCTGGTTCACACAGGGAGTGCTGTCAGGTCTAGTTGTTCAGGTGATAGTGTTGCCTTCAGTTAACTTCATTAAAATCACTAGGAAAATGCTGTGTATCCCAGTCAAGCATGGAATCTCTCAGCTGGCCTTCCTGCACCTCACTCCAGCATTTTTGTTGTGTTAGGAGAAGGGTTAAGTGCCTGTTCCTTGTCTGAAGGGAGCAAATACAGGAAAAAAAAAAACTATTATGGACTAATTTGGTTTCAAGTTGTCCTAATATCAATTGTTCCTCCATTCTAAATTTAAAAGTGTGGGTTTTGGGTGACATTGAGACTCGTGGTGTTACACAGTCGGGAACTCTAAACTCTGTAAGGCCAGTTTGTGTTGCATCATCACCTGCTGCATATCTGCTTTGGCATCAGGCTCGTTCCAGGAGGAAGGTTATCAATAATTCTAAGGGTTATTAGTTCTGGGGGAAAAAAAAAAAAAAAAAGGCAATCCAGTGGAAGAGCAGTGAGTGCTCAGGGCTATCCCTGTGTCTTTAAAGAAGGACAGTTCTTGTGAGTCAAAAGATTAGTTTGGTGCCTCGCTCATAAAACCTGTAGGGCTGGCACAGGGTTGGAAAGGAGCTGTTTTTATGAAATAGCACATGTTCCCACACCCCACCCCGGGGCATCATTCTTGTGAAGTGAGACTTCAAGAAGCTTGGTCACACAGGAAAATGGGAGGTGCAGAAGGGAGAGGCTTGTTCTTTTCACTTAACCATGCAGAGAGGCTGGGAGAGGCAGGGGGGGTTTGCTCCTCTTGTCTGCTCTCACCTTGCATCCATCCCATCCCTCCTGTGTGTGTTGTGAGTTACTGGGACCAGACTGCTGCAAAAGTCCTGGAATACAGCCCTCTCCACTGCTCCCACACCCATTTTCATGGATGCCACGCTGGAGGAGAACAGGACTGGCTGAGCAGGCTGTGTTTTCACTTGAGGCTCCTCATTTCCATCAGGAGTTGCTGCAGAGAAGTGAAAGGAGCTGTAGTGGTGTGAGAGTAATTGAAGCCGTGGGTTATGACTCCACGCTCTGCTACAATTCATTCCTTAAAAAGTATTCCAGAAAAGCCAGTCTGTCTGGGACAGCTCCCTGTGCTCCCTCCACACCAAACAGAACTGCCACAATTTCGGTATCTGATTGTGGAGAACTCCCAGTTCCTCCTCAAGGTGCTGGTGTAGGAATTTTGCCTGATGTGGCTGTAGAAAAGAAGCAGCAAAGCAAGCTGTTAAAAGTAAGGGTGATACAAATAAAAGGACACTGGGGAAGCATTTTGCAAAGTTCCTAAAGTCACTTTTCAGGATAATGGCTCCGTTGTGGGAGGCTTTTTGCAGATGCTCCGAGGAAAGTGCTCAGCAGTGAATATGCCAAGACTGCTGCTTGCTTTTGTTTTATTTTTGCCTTATTTCATTCTCAGGTGAGCGAGAGACATAACCAGCATTTCACCTCATCAAAATGCTGCACCTACTAAGTAAATTTATCTCGGCAGTAACATTTATGCTCACATTATACTGAGTACACCAGGAAACAAAACAAGTTGCCTTTGATGTCTCACAGCAAGTTAAAGGAGGAGCAGATTCAAACTCAACATCTCCTGGGATTTTGGCCCTGGACTTCAGTAGCCTGAAGCAGGGCTTTATTTCAGAAGTCCTGTTCAGGGTAGTTAAGTGTGGCTTGTACTTGTTCCCTGCTGCTGGTCTGGCTCTGTGTGATATTCTCACCTGGAACAGAAGGTGCCCCAGGAGGAGATTTGTGCTGAGAATGGGGAGAACTTTTCCTGATCACTAAATCTGTTTTAGTCCAACCCCCTCGTGCTAGTCTGAGAGATTTGTGACTTCTTGTTAGAAGCTGTGTGTTGTTTTTGATGAAGTGGAACATGACAGCCCTCTGGTGTACTCTCAAAAACTATTAACACAGACAAAGGGAAATGATGCTCATTGGTTTGTGTACTGCTGCTCTTCTTTAAAAGCTGCTTTTACCTCGAGTTGGGTGTGATGTGCCAGAGCTGTCTGCATCTCTGCTGCTGTATCTCTCTGTTTTGTGTAGCTGAAGCAATAAGCTTGACCTGTCTTGACATCCCTCTCTATTCCTGGACTGCTGCCCTGTTTCTGTCTCTCATATATTTTCCCTCTGTTGTACTGTACCAGTTCCTCTCGGTACTGTGTGATTATCTAGGTGGATAAGGTTTTGGACTGATGCCCAGCTTGTGTCTCTTTGTATTTCTCTCCTTCTCTCTGTCCTGCCCTTTCCCCACCTTTCTCGTGCAGGTCTGGTTCAGCGGTGTGTGGTGATCCAGCGGGATGAGAACGGATTCGGGCTGACAGTCAGCGGAGACAACCCGGTCTTCGTGCAGTCCGTCAAGGAAGGTGGGCAAGGAGGGGGCCAGATGTTGCCAGCCAGGGAGCAGCCTCAGGCTCTCCATGTGGATCAGAGAAATGTGGAGGAGAAAACTCCGAAAATCCTCGTGGGTGGGGCGGCTGTGCCGTGGGATGCAGTGAATTTGTCTCCTCCGTGTCTGACGGATTGAAAACCGACCTCGTGTGTCCAAGGGGAAGGATATGACTCCTTGGAACCTGGTGGGATTGTGGCTTTGGGGTATGCACTGCCAAGTGAGAACAGAGCTGCTCTAGGCAAGAAACCCGGAGATTTTAACCTGCTTGGGACAGAGGGAGCTTGGCAGAGTGCAGGAAATAGTTTTGCATCAAACTACGAAAGTGTTTAAACTGTTTTTGCTTTGAGTGTTTGTATTGATGTGGGAACTGAAGGGTTTCTTTTCCCTGCAGATGGAGCAGCCATGCGGGCTGGAGTGCAAACAGGGGATAGAATTATCAAGGTAAGGGCATTCAGATTGTGGGGGAAATGGATCCTTTGTATTGAATGAGCTCTATCCCTGAAAAAAATGCCATTGCTGCATCTGCTGGGATGTTTTCATTTGCCTGGGAGATTGAGGAATGGGCTGTTTCTGTGTTCTGGGAGGGGGGTGGGGAAAGAAGATATTGTAGTGCTTTTTGTGTGATTTGTTGGATGCTTTTGGTTGGGAATCAGTTGCTGAACACTTAATTTTCTCCCCCTCCCTGCCCCAGGTGAACGGCACCCTCGTAACACACTCGAACCACTTGGAGGTGGTAAAGCTGATCAAGTGTAAGTAAAGGCTGTTTCTGTCCCTGGGCTCCTCAAAAGCATGACAGGCATCATCTGAAAGGCTGATTGAGCCTTCAGGTGACAAGGGTGAGGTCTTACCATGCCCAGTGCTGAGAGAGAAAGGGAGGGTGTGAAACAGGGAAGTGAAATTGGGGTAATTCTGACACCTTGAACTTAACCTGATACATTCCCCTGTAGCTTCTCCTTAGCCTGGTGTTTGAATTTGCTGTCAAGCCTTGCCCAGGTGCTTTCCCACCTTTTGTTTCCACCTTAAATACCAGAGCTATTCAGGCACTTTTAAGTTCATTGCTGGGTGATGCTTGCAGAGCTCTGGCATTGCTAAAGGAAGTGTGTTCTTGGTCGATTATCTTGCACAAGGAAGAAGGTGGTAGTGGTTCCTTCCACCCTAGCAGAGTTTATTCTGTGGCATGAACCTGTGTGTACTGTAAATACAACCTGCTGGACTAGAAATTGGATTGCTGGCTTTCCTATCGTGGAAGTTTTGGGATTTAAATTAGGTGTTTGTAAAGCAGAGCTGACCACGCTCGCAGGTTTGGAGGAGGAATGGGGGAAGAACGGCCTGAGTTTTGTCTCCAGGGTGAATCATGGGAACAGCATCACAGAAATCTCCAAATGTCTGACGTGTGACCTGTCCCTGTCTCCCTGCAGCGGGTTCCTATGTAGCTCTCACTGTCCAGGGGCGCCCACCAGGGTCGCCCCAGATTCCCTTGGCTGATTCTGAAGTGGAGCTGGCAGGATTTGGGCATATGTCTCCCATCATGACATCTCCCCACTCACCTGGCACATCAGGAAATGCAGAAAGGATCACCAGCCCAGTGCTTATGGGGGTAAGATGTAAAGCTCTCTTTCCAAAGAACTGTAGAAATGCAGTCTGGTATTTTATTTTTTCTTTTTTTTTTTTTAACCTGGATTATTTAGTGCTACTTTCACAAATCACAAACTGGAATATTTATCCTGGCAGTGGGTATTTATTCACGTGGTGAAAAACATTTTGCAAGTGAAAATATCCAGTCCTATCTGAGGGTTTTTTAAACTGTGTTCAGTATGAGGAGAGAACACATAGGATTGTGTTTGCAAGCTTGAATTGCTTTTTGTTTAGAGCCAGTGTTTAGGAAGCAGATGAAAAATGGGCATGTCCACTCTCCTGATCTTCCCAGCTCCACCAAAAAAAAAAAACCCCAACCCTTAATCTCTCTGTGTTTTCTAGGAGGAGAATAATATTGTCCACAACCAGAAGGTGGAGATTCTGAGGAAGATGCTACAGAAGGAGCAGGAGAGGCTGCAGGTACTGGGGTTGTGTGAGGTGGAGAGGGGTGGGGGGGAAAGCCAGAGGTGGGGTTGTTGAATCACTGCTTACAGAGCTGTAGAAAACAGACCTGTAGCAGCTGTTTATTACTGAAATGTGCAAATGGAATGAACTGAGCAGCAGGTAGTGGTTCCAAGAGATGCTGAGTGGAAGCTCAATCGTTTCGCAGTCTCTCCAAGAGGAGTACGGCCGGTCCCCCACCCCCCGCCTGCTCAAGGAGATCCAGGAGGCCAAGAAGCACATTCCTCAGCTGCAGGAGCAGCTCTCCAAAGCCACGGGCTGCACTCAGGTAACACAGCATGTCAGGCCTCTCCGTGGGATGCTCCAGGCGGGAATTCTTGGGGGATGATGATGATGTGGGCGAGCACCGAGTTCCCTGCCAGGCTCTGCCGTGCTTGGACAGGCAGGTTGCACCCTCTAGAGCTGAGACTTGGAGTTGAGCTTGCAGAGCCTTGTCAAGCAGTGCAGTGCAGTGCAATGTCAGTCAGGATGTGGAGGAGGCTTTACAGTGGGCTTTCAAAATCATCTGTGAAAAGCTGCTTTTAAAAACAGTAAATGTGAGCTGTCATGTGTTGATTAGTCTGTCAGTGCAACTTCAAAAAACCCTGTGAAGTCATTCTTTCAATAGGGAATGAAGAACTGGAAGCTTAAAACAACTTTACTTTCACTTTTGAAAAAAAAAAAATATAAGTTGTGTTATTTTCCCTCTGCCTTTGATATTATAAGTCCTGAGAACTTGGTGTGGTTTTTCTGTTGTTTTCTCTTAGAAAAGCATTGCAGCCTTTTCTTAGATAAAATAAGGAAGTTTTATAAGTAATGTGAACTAGCTGGCTTTTGAAAGAGCTGATTTTTCAGGATCATCCCTTGAAATACTCTGCTTGCTCTTTATCTTTCCAGGATGGAGTGTTGCCCTCCAGGTCTGTGTCGGAGTCGCTGCAGATCAGCGAGGGGGAGGCAGAGAGTGGGGACTGTGGGAGCAAACTGGATTACAGTGGGGACAGCCCCTCCAGACCCAACAGTGACATTGCTGATGTGAGTCTGCAACAGCTCCAGCTCTTTCCTCTCTGCCCTTTGGGCTTGGTTTTCCTGTGCAAGTTCTCTGTGTCGTCCTGTGTGCCACACGTGTGACACTGTGCTGGAACAGGCTCCTCAGCACCCACCAAAACTCCTTCCCCTGAGGAAACATGAAACACTGGGCTTGTGTGAACTGGGAAAGAAATGGTGTGGGTTTGGGTTTTCATCCAGGATTAGATTTCCCTGTAGCCAGACAAAGAAAGACAGATGCCAGCTTCCTTCTCATGACTCAGATGCCAACTGGAGCATCTTCTCAGAGAATGTTCCAGTTGCAGAACTGTGACTCGGATCCAGTCAGTGGGCAAGTTGCCAGGGAAGTGGGGAAGAGCCTGCCTTCCACCAAATAAGCTTCAGTTTTTGCCAGCAGTAAAGGCTCTTAGTGTGTTCACTCATTAGTTATCAATCTGTGCTCGTGTGCTCTCCCTGCTGCAGAGCCCTCGTGCCTAATCCTTAATTAAATCACTATCTGATTAGTGCAGGGGAATTGAGACTCCCTGCTTGGATTTGGAGCTAAATTTGTCCCAGCAGTTGCAAGTGAAAGCAAGGTGGGTCAGATGTGAACAGACATGACTCTAATGTGAAACATTCCTTGTCCAGCTCCAAATCTGACTGGATATCACCCACATTTCTATATAATAAATGCAGAAAAAATAGTTACCTTCCTAATAAACTCCATCCTGTCAGTATTGTGGATGTGTTAGATCACTGGGAGGTGATTGGCACACCAGACATTGAGGCTTCTCAGTCCAAAGTGGCTCTGAGAAAGGATCAGGGGGCATTAGAAACCTTTGGAAGTTGAGCAAGAACTCCAGAGGAGTGCAGCTGGGGTGGAATAACTTCATGGGAAAAGACAGGCTGGAAAGCAACAGCCTGGCTGAAAAAAAACCTTTGAACACACTGAAGATGAGCCAACAGCACGTGGTTTTTGTAAATAAAGCCAAGGGCGTGCTGGGCCGCCTGAGGAAGAGGAGGTGGAGAGGAGAGAGCTAAAGATGAACTGTCAATAGAGGAGGAGAGAGCAATGAAAAGCCAAGGACAGGTGGTAGATTTTACAGCTCTGCCGTTGCTCAGTGTCACCAGCTTTCTTCCCCAAACTGCTTCTGCACTGAGTTGTGTTTCTGGAGGGGGTTTTTGTGAACTGTGCACGTAGGACACGCGTCGTGGTCTGTTTTTTCCACGCCTCAGCTGCTGAGCAGTTCACTGTGTGAGAAAGGAGAAGCTTTGGCCGTTGTGGCTGCAGCACTTGGTGTGCAGTTCTCACTTTCCTGGGTTTGCTGGTACTTACCAGAGCCCAACTTCCTTCTTTCCCAGAGTCCTCGCAGTGGCTTGAAGGAGAGGATTTATCCAGATGAGAGCCCAGAAAAGCCTGAGGTTCAAGATACTGTGAGTACAAATCAGGAAGTGTCACAACAGCGTCTCCTGTGATGGGCCCATTAAAATCTTGCTGCTTTCCCCCCCACTTTCTAAATGGAGCATGCATGAACTTTGCTTTAGAAAATAAAATGCAATTAAAATTGCGCAGGGAAAGTTAATTAGCTGAGTAAATGTTTATGGAGCTTAAGAGCAGAGCCATTTAGAGGCAAGAAATACATAATCAGCAGTAAAACAGCTGGACAGAAAATAGGTAGAGCAGTTGTACGTGTTTTATTCTTTGAGTCCAGCCTTTTTTATAGGCTATTTAGTCATTTTGAGGCTGGCATTATCAGCAGTGGTAAAAGTGGAGCACAGCAGGAAGTGCAGACCTGTCTGAACGTATCATCATCCTTGGGATGACTTCTCTGTTATATTTTCCCCTCATCTGCCTGTCTTTCCAAAGTCATATTTCTCCATTTACACTAAGATGGCATTTGTCATGTGCCACATGCTTGGTGTGCTCGTGTGTGCGGATGATGCAGTTGATCCTCAATCATCTGACTTGGTGGTTCTGGGGAGGGGGAGCTGCAGACTTGGCCAAGGCTGAGGGAAGACACGTGGGTTCCCACGGAGTTTGGAGAAGAATAAAAAGGATAGTAATGTTTCCAGCTTGGTCAAATGGGTTTCCTGTGATAAGAGAGTAATAGCATCGTGCTTTTCTTCCCTTCCCTGGCTCCTGACTCACCCCAGGATTCCCAGTCCAGTGTTGGAAGTCCTTTATCCCGAGTGGGGACTCAGATCATTGGAGCAGAGGATGATGACTTTGACACGGAACAGGAGCAGGTGGGAATGACTTTTGGCCTCAGCCACCCTTTTTCCTATCGAAATCCCATTCTGTTCCTCTGGGCCCAAGCTCCAGGTGCTCCAGGACTTGCTTGTATTGAGCACTCCTGGTGAAATAAGAATTAGGGAATGTGATTCTTGTTATTGCTGGTCTTGCTAAACAAGAACATTTGGGGAGTTTATGACAATATGCCATCTTTGAGCCTGTAATCCTTTCTTTCTCCTCATAACTTCAAGCTTTCTAGACGTTAATTTGCCTTATCTCATTTGCTTATGTAGTTTCTGTTCAGTTCTGCATTATTGTCCCTGCAGTGGCTTTTGACATGTTTACCCTGAGTTATTTCAGCTGCCCTGGGGTTTATCTCACAGCAGCTTTCTCCAGTAATTCAGCTGTTTCCCCTGTATCCCCACAGATCAATGGACAGTGCAGCTGCTTCCAGAACATCGAGCTCCTCAAGTCTCGCCCAGCTCACCTGGCTGTTCTCCTGCACCATGTGGTGTCCCAGTTTGATCCTGCAGCGCTGGTAGGATGTTCTGGAATTGTTTCCCTGGCTCCACCTTGGTGGTGTTAACCAGAATGTGTCAGGATCTCCCTGTGTAGCACTCAGTGGCTTGACTTGGCCAGGGGAGAAATGCAATTTATCACCTAGAGGTGATGAATCTCTCATTTATCTTCTCAGATAAACGGAGGGGCACAAAGAGAACTGTCCTCTGTACATTTAGCTGTTCACAAAGAAATGTTTAGCTCTTGAAAGCTAAAGGTGGTGGCATTAGTGGCGTACAGGGAAGGTCTGATCTCTCTGTGTGTTTTTATCTCTGGTTCCCTCCATGACTCCAAGTACCTGGGAAGGGTTTCAGTCCAGCAGTGCGGAATTCCTTGAAATATTTGTCAGGAAACTCGGGAGTTAGGGGTGTTAGAAGAGTTTCTGTGGTATCACTGAACTTCTTGCCCTCCTGTTTCCCACAGCTGTGCTACCTTTACACTGACCTGTACAAACAGACCAACTCCAAAGAGACCCGGAGAGTCTTCCTGGAGTTTTACCAGTTCTTCCTGGACAGAGCTGCAGTAGGTTCCAGTCATTTCCCTCATTTCCAAGCACATCCAGCAAGTTGATTTTTACCTTTCTCCACTTGCCTGAAGTGGGAAAAAAACCCCAAGTCCTCCAAAATAAGAAGTTTTAAAAATAAAGTGTTTAATAATACTTACTAATAATGAAATTTAATAAAAGTTTTAAGGTTTTTTTTGTTTAAATGTTACCAGTGAATACAGGAAGTTAATACAGTTTCAGATGCCTGGTAACACAATAAATCACAGGGAATTTGCTGTCTGATAGGAGAAATGATTTAGTGATAGGTAAGCAAACTCTAGCAGTTTTACACTGCCTTTTAGTTAATAATTGGTGTGGGTATTGATGTGGCTGTTACAAAGATTGGGAAATTTTATGTGCCTTTTGGAAAGCGTGAGAAAATTCTTTACTGTCATGAACTAAATTGTAAATTTAATTAAATTAAATAAATTAAACCAGGTACTGCAGCAGAGGCTTATACACCACATGTTTAGATTAGATAATCCCTGTGAAATATAATATATTCTCAGGATGGAATCTCCCCTTTAAAACCATCAGGGGTTGAGATTGTATAATTTTGGCTTTTCAGAGAATTTTCTTGTCTGCTCTGCACTGTGGGTTTTATTGGGGTGCTTTTGGCTGTGTTTGTTCTCCCAGCCTTTCTTCTCTTTTGCAGAATCTCAAAGTTCCAGTTCCAGATGAAATCTCCTTGGAACTAGGTAAGGTTGTCCTTGCCTGTTTCTGTAAGGGAAAGGCACAAAGGTGCTCCTGCATGGGTTAAAATATTCAGGGAAGTGACTCTTTATTTTGAGGTGAAGGGGACACTTCTCAGAAGAATCATTTATTAACTTTGTGACTCACAGACAGGAGAAGGCCAGAACTCCTTCCTGAGGAGCTTCACCGCCAGTTCATACAAACTATGCAAGATAAAGTGTGTCCAGAAGTCCAGAGGAACCTGGAAGATTTCAGGTAACACCAGTTGTCTGTGTAATTTCCATTTAATTCATTGCCTGTTTGAGGCAATTTCAAGGTATAATTTCTCAGGTGGTGTTGTATAAATCCTTCTTACTAATTGTGTTTATAATCAGCTTATATATTTTTTTCCCCCTTTTTCCTGTTTTCCTCCCCTCTCCTCTTTGGGCATGGAATAATCTACTTTACAGACTTGTCATGGGCATGTAATAGAATTTGATAATTTGCCTTTTCATGAGGAGTTATAAGAGGTCTGTGCCAACATCAGGCATTATACCAAGACAAGTGTATATTTATATACAAGTATATATATATATATATATATATAAAATATACAAGTGTATAATGGTATAATAATGGACTTTTTCATACCTAAAATGTCTCAATTCAAGTATATACACTTTCAATACACAGCCTGGGTTGTGTGCAGAAGAGTTTGCTGCAGAATCACTGCTTTTTATTGATGGTTGCAAGGCTTCTCTTAATAAATACCCCCCCAGCTTCTCTGGACAACCCGTGCCAGGGCCTCACCACCCTCACAGGGGAGAATTTCATCTTAATATCTAATTAATTCTGCTTTATATCTACTCTAAATCTACCCTCTTCTAGTTTAAAGCTGTTCCCCCTGTCCTGTCACCACTTAAAAAAATCCCTCCACGGCTTCTCCGTTGCCGTTCCGCGCGTGTGACATTCCGGGTGTCACTGCTGCTGCTCCTTGTTGCAGGGCAGGGTTCAGTCTCAACTGGTGCTTCCCTGCCCTTGTTTCCCAGGCAGAAACGCAGCATGGGGTTGACCCTGGCAGAGGGGGAGCTCACCAAGCTGGATGCAGAGCGGGTGCGGGACAGGAACGCGGTGGAGAAGGAGAGAAGCTGCGCCGAGCAGATCATCGCTAAAATCGAGGAGGTCTTGTAAGTCACAGCAGCATAAATGCTGGGAGTGTAAGAAAAACCAACAGAAAGGGTCTGCCCTGAGCCTGGAAACAGCAGAACTGGAATTTGACATCAGTACACTTACATCACTTCCCCTGTTTGCTGTTTGAATAATGGCAGCCCGAACTAAACTAACAGTGGAGTGTGTTTTTTCCAGGAGGCTGCTCCAATAGGAGAGGAAATGCTGCCATTGTCAGCTTGTGCATTATTAGATCAGTCTTCTTTTTTTTTTTTTTTTTAGAAACCTGTAGCTTCAGAACCCATTTGTTTTTTTAACGTGGGCTGAAGCCAGTTTTCGCAGCTGAACCTTTATTTCTGATTTTTAGTTTCTTGCTTTTTCTCTGCTGGGACTTCTTAACATCCTAAAGGGCACTTTGAACACAACTGCTGATGCTCTGGGGTGGATGTGACTGGGTGTTAATTGGTTTTTGAGTTTCGTTTTTAAATTATTTTGTTTTTTTTTTCTCAGGATGACATCTCAGCCTTTGGAAGAAGACAAGAGGTAATGGAAGTTTGGGGGTGGGGGTTAAATTTGTGCAGGAAGATCCCCAGTGCTGGCTCTGCTCTGTGAGCAGAGCAAGACAGCCCTCTCCTGGCTGTACCACCAACTCTCACCCACTAAATCCCCTGCCAGAACAGATTGGAATTCAGAGCATCAGCCTCTTGCTCTCAGCCTCTTGTTATCTGATGTTTGTTGCCTGCGTTTCAGATCTTAAAAATTACTGTCACTGGGAGTTCATGTTTCTTTTTGATTTACTTTGTGTTTGTGCCTTGTCCTGTTCACTCTGTGTGTATACAACTGGCTGAGTAGCTTTTACTCTACTCCTTACAGCAACCTTTTACTGTTAACTTATTTTTACCATAACTCAAAGCTATAATGTGACTCCTCATATGTATTTAATATAGAATTTTAAGGCCTTCTGTGTAATTCTCAAAATTTTAGTTTTACCTCCTGGACTCCTGTGCATTTTTTCAGAGAATCACAGGATGGTTTGGATTGGAGGGCACCCTTAAGACCATCTGCCATGGGCAGGGACACCTTCCACTAGCCCAGGTTGCTCCAATCCCCATCCAGCCTGGCCTTGGACACTTCCAAGGGGAGTCCACTACCTCTCTGGGCAGCCTACTCCACCCCTCTACTTCATCTTTATAAACTCCATCTTATATTTGCAAGAGGAGAAATGCTGATATTAACTGAATTTCTCCCAGTGTCTGTGATACTTTGTTTTATATTCAAGAAAAAATCCCACTTAACTTTCATTTAAAAATAATCAGCTTCTCAATAAAACCTTTTCATTGACAAAATGTATTTTTCCAACACGTTTCTCCTGTTTTTTTTTTTTTTTTTGGTGTGTGTTTCCATGGTAGCTCCACGATGCAATACGTGATTCTTACCTACATGAAGCACCTGGGAGTCAAAGTGAAGGAGCCTCGGAACCTGGAGCAGAAACGTGGCCGGATCGGTTTCCTGCCCAAGATCAAGGTAAGTGTTTCACATCATCACGGAATCTGCCAGGTTGGAAGGGACCCATGAGGATCGTGGTATCCCATGATGGTCTCATTAATTGTTAATGATGGTTAATCAGCTGTTGACCTGTATATTTTAGTGCTCTTCTTGACAAACTTGCCCAAAAAAAAACTCACGCTTGATGATGCAGGAGAGCTATTCTTCCTGCCACCCCCACGTTTCAAGTTACATAATGAATATTTCCACCAAAACTCCCATCTCTGGGGGTGTAATCGCTCGTCCCCCACAGCATGGGGGTGTATCTGGTCACAGGAGCTGCTTATTTCCATCAGCATTCCAGCCTCCTTGGAAATGTTAGGACTGCTAGGAGCAGTTCTGCACTGACAGTGTGAAAAGGTTAGATCAGGCATTCACAGCCCTTTTCCAAAGGGCAAGATCAGTTGGGTTTCTCTCCCTCCTCAGTGAAAATCTCAGTAAATAACTGAATTTCGAGCGCTGAGTGATCTGTTTGCTTTCCTTTAACTGCAGCAAAGCATCAAGAAAGAGAAAGAAGGAGAGGAAAAAGGGAAGAGGAGAGGCTTTCCCAATATTCTGGGCCCACCGAGGAGACCGAGTCGACACGACAGCAGTGCAAGTATGTCAGGCAGGGAAATGTATGTTCCCTTTTAGTCTGAAAGCCACACAAAGTCTCTGCTGTCTTTAAAAATTCATGTTAAGAAGACTCAGTAAACTTTTTTTGGGTTTAAAATACATTTTTTAAAGACACACAAAGCTGTTTTTGTCCCGAAATGCTTCCCCTCCTTATCCCTGGAAACAGGCACAGGCTCTTTGAGCAGAGTAACTGCTCTGTGTTTGTTCAGTTGGCAGAGCCATGGAGATGCAGAAGCCCAGGCACCCAAAGCACTTACCCACGGCCTCTTCTGTGAGCCCAGAGCCCCCAGATTCCAGCAAGATCCGCCAGAGTGGCTCCTCCAGTGATGGCACAGATGCTCCATACCCACCTGCCAACCCCATGTCCCCCTTGGCAATGGGGCCCTTTTCCTCCCCAGAGGGAAGCAAGGACAGTGAGACAGGTAGGATGGAGTGAATGCAGAGGAATGATTGAATGTGTTGTGAGTGGGATATGCCCAGCACACTTCTGATGCAACAAGCTCGACAAGTTAGGAAACCTTTCCGTATCATTAGGTATGATCTTCCTGTCCTTAGTCACCTTTTGTGAATTGGGAAGTCTTACCACGACCAGAAATTGTTGTTAGTGGGTTCTGTCACTGTGGCATCGGATCATCCAACAGGAAGAACCCAGTCTCAGGTGCCTGCTGTTGTCAGCAGCAGCCTGTGTCACCTGGGACTTGCCACTGAGATTTTTCTTACCAGCCCAGGAATTCAGTTCCTCCAGCTCTGAGCTGAAGTGAGGCTGGAATCAAGAGGCTGGGAAGCTCTCTAATGTCCTCTAAATTTGGTTCTTGACATTTCCTTCTTGCCCTCTGTCTAGGTTTGAAGCAGCCTGGAGAAGCTCCACCTGCCAGTGACTCCATGGATGGCACACCCCGCACACCCAACACCACCTTTGAATTCCCATCTCCTTTGGAAAACCTGCAGGAGGAGGAGGGAGAATCAGAGAGGTAACTGTGGTTGCTTGAGTGAGGCTTGAGAGAGTGCTAGAACCAGAGTACCCTGAGTTGGAAGGGACCCATGGGGACCATTGCAGTCCCAGCTCCTGTGCCAGTGTGACGATGGCTGCTGAAAAAGTCCATGAAAATATTAGTGACATCATTTTTATTGGTGCAGTCAGAACCACTGGTCTGTGTCTGCTGCTGTGGTAATACTAAAAAGCTCTCTGTCAGGAGGGTGAGTCTGACAGGGGACAGAATGTTCTAGTGAGGAGCTTAGAGCTGTACTCTGAAGTTGTGCTGAGTGCCTGAACAGGGGGAATTCAGGCATAAGCTTCCCTAATAATTTCTTTTCTTCCTTGCAGAATGGTTGACGTGGGAACACCAAAGCCTTTTCGCAAGTGAGTGTGCTCAGAAATGTTTGAACTGCACCGAATTGCTCAGGGCCTGAGAGGTTATGAAGCAGAATGCAGCAGTGCTCCTTGTTCTGAGCCAGCACAGTTGTCTGCATGATCTCTCCTTTAATAACACCTATATGGAATCAGACACTGGCAGCCACATATAGGACAGGTGGAGTGAGTCATATGCAAATAAACCCTTTGATCTGTGGGTGAAGTGGAGTGATTGCTGTATCTCCTGATTTGAATGGATGTTAGGTTAGGGAGTAGGCATTTCCATATTTTCTCTTTAAACCCGTGTGTTGCTGTTGGCTCTGGATCCGCAGATAGACAGAGGAAAGAAATGGTAACGTGCCCTTTCGCTGGCTTGATATTTGACTTCAAGCAAATTATTTGATCTGTGCCATTAAAAGGAGGGTTGTGGAAATACTGGAAGAACAGATAGTCACTCTTAGTTGTAAAGGGCAAATTTAGAGACTATGCCTATAGGTTCAGACATCAAACAGCCTCCAGCTGGCAGAGAGAGCGTGTTCATAATCCTCTACAACCGACACATACACTTAGCATTTCTCCCTTCCTTACATCCATGCCTGAAGTGGGAAGTGTCTGACACCTTTTTCTCACGCCAGGATGGACAGTGTTGGCTTTGCAGATGTGCAGAGCGAAGATGAGCTCTACGATTTTGACATGGACACGGACCCTCCCAACTGGCAGCAGCTCGTGAGCAGAGAGGTGCTGATGGGGCTCAAACCCTACGAAATCAAGCGCCAGGAAGTGATTAATGGTGAGATGGATGTTCTTTCCTAGCTCACCAAGCACTAAAAAAAAAAAACACAGTTGAAACCTGTCCTCTGTTCTTAAAATTTAAAACTAGGTCTGTTTTCACTGATCCTGCTCAAAGTAGTGGCTGTTAACTTCTGGCTTGCGGAGTTCTTGTGTGTGAAAATTGGACTTGTTGCTGAAAAGTATCCTGAGATGAGACTGATCCAGTCCTTAGAGAAGAAATAAACAATATTAAGTGGTTATTAAACAATATTAAGTGGTTATTAAACAATATTAAGGTACTGAAAGGCCAGTTTGCAGTATATTCTATGAAAGAAAGCAAGAGAAGCTTGCTTTTCTGGAAAGCATGTGGTGCAAACGCTACTCCCAAACTTCACCTGCAGAGCTTCATCTCAGTTCCAGGTCTTGCAGGACTCTCTGTGTGGCTTTATGAGCTGCTCAGAGCTCACTGTTGGTTTGGGGTCAGTTATGAGCCGTGAATCAATTGGCTTCTCTCTTCTTTTAAAAATGGAATTACAGCCAAGCGTGACTCCGTGCTGCAATATGGGCCAGCAAGGGTAGCACTGATGAGGAAACCTGTTCTAACTTAACCCTCTGACTTCGGTTTGCTTCGTGTTTGGCTCCAGCTGCCCCACACTGAGTCACAGCCCCTGTTTCCTTTCTCTCCTCAGAGCTGTTTTACACAGAGAGAGCCCACGTCCGCACGCTGAAGGTCCTGCACAACGTCTTCTACCAGCGCGTGACCAGGGAAGGGATCCTCAGCTCCAGTGACAAGCGCAAAATCTTCTCCAACCTGGAGGATATCCTTGGCCTTCATGGTAGGAGCAGCTGAGGTGCCTTTCAGCTGGAATTCTGGGTGCCAGTAGCTGAGAAATTGGAGCAAAGTGACCCTGAAACAAGAGGCGGCTTCGTGCGACGCTGGAGATAAAACAGAGCGTTAACATCTGGGCTTCCTCTGGCACACAGTTGTTATATTTCCGATTTACAGAGATATTTTGATCAGGGAAGCACCTGCCCAGTGCTCCAGTCCTTGCTTTCTCTCTTACCTGCGTGCACAGCCTGCCTTGTGCTGATTCCTGCTGGATAAAAGGAGCAGTGCTTTGATGAATGGGGCTTTGTGGGTCAACATCAAGATGTTGCAACTGTTTCTGAAGAGAATATGAAAACGGAGCTGAAAAGATTGATGTCTTGCAGGTGGTTTTGAAGGGTGGCCCCTCCTGATTGTTTAGGGAAAAGAACTGCTCACAAGGGGAATTGCAGCTCTGCCACTGAATAATCACTTGTATGATTTTATGCAGGTGGCTCGAGTTGTGTTCTACATATTGCTCTTTTTAAATAAGTGGCACTGAGCCTCAGAAAAGATGAGACTGGAGTGGTTTTTAGGGGTCATTTGAGGATAGGTGAGACAGAAGTTCAAACGAGTTACATAGCATTTTCGTAGATAATTCTGCTAAATTTATTGTGTTGCAGGATAATGTTTTTATTTAATTGAAATTACTGCAAATCTACTCTTCCCCTGGAATAGCTTTTAATTTAAAATAAATGCTGAAAATAAAGCAATTTGACCACCGTTAATAAAATTTTCCTTTTTTATTATTATTTTTAAGTTGCACTGAACGATCAGATGAAAACTGTCCGAAAAAGGAACGAGACTTCTGTCATTGGCCAAATTGGGGAAGACTTGCTTTCCTGGGTAAAGTTCTTTTATGCTTCCTTAACATTTGAAAATAATGTTTCACAGAATGACAGACAGAGGCAGAGGTTGGTGAAGGCAATTTCCAGCTAATAGGAGCTGAAGGTCTGGGAGCTGTCATTTCTATGGAGCTGGAGAACGAGGGTGGAAGGAAAGCGGGAAGAAGTTCTTTGGGTTTTCATTTGGTTAGAGATAAGAGTAATTTAAGGAACAGAAATAATTTCCTTAAGATGTGTGGGTAGAGTAGAAAGGTAGTTTTGGAGACATAAAGGTGAGAGTAGGATCTTGAAAAATGTAATTGCACCATTTATTTCAGTAACGCTGAAATTCTCTTGTGTTGCCTGCGGTGCAGTTAAAAGTTAAAAATACTTATTTCTAATCTTAGAATTTACATAGCTGAACCTTTTCAAGTTTTGTAACACTGTTGAAGGCTCCTTATGGAAAGGTTTGGCTGCCCCATCCCTGGAAGTGTCCAAGGCCAGGCTGGATGGGGTTTGGAGCAACCTGGGAGAGTGGAAGTGTCAGCAGGGTGGGTGGAACTGGATGGGCTTTAAAGGTCCCTTCCCACCCAAACCATTCTGGCATTCTGTGATGTGATTGGGCTGGAAACAGGAGAACTGTATAGAGTCTGGGATGTTCCTCAGGAAAATGGGAAGACAAAGCAGGGCAGAAATTAACTCCTCACGTTTTGCCACCAGTTCCTTCCTTCCCCTGGCGACCCCAGTGGCTCTGTGCCTGTTGAGGGTGGCACGTGCTGAGCTTGAATCTATCTAAACTTGGCTTCCCTTGGCTTTCTGGCACAGTTTAGTGGAGCAGCAGAGGAGAAGCTGAAGCACGCCACTGCCACGTTCTGCAGCAACCAGCCCTTTGCCCTCGAGGTCATCAAGTCCCGCCAGAAGAAGGACTCGCGCTTCCAGACCTTCGTGCAGGTGAGTTTTGCACCGGGGTTGGAGCTGCCCCGAGGATGTGGCTGGGGGCCAGCACAGCCTAATGAATGCTTGTAGATAAAGTTCCAGTAATTAATGACATCATGTCTAACATTGTCTTCGGATTGGGATCGTTTCCAGCGCTGTATTTATCTCTGCCGATCGCTCCTGGAGGGGAGGAGCCTTTAATTGTGGGGAACACAGAATGTCCTGGTGGAATGCAGGGAGGCACATAGTGTCCCAGGGAGGAGGTGGCATCTCACTTGGGGTGGCTGATTCCCAAGGATGAGGAGTTCTCTGGGGAAAAGTGCTCAGGGCAGTGCCATTGCAGTGCTTGCCACGGGCAGAAGACAGATGATGGTGCACCTGCTCTGCCTGCCAGGAAAGGGGCTTGGATACATGTGGCTTTTGCAGGAGAGAACATTATCTCCATTACCACGGGCTGGGGAGGACTTGGGTAATACAAGGGAAGATTATATTGAAAAATGTACTGTATTTTGCTCCGGTGTGAAAGCCTAAACTGATGTGTTCCCTGTGTGGTGCTGACTGAGATTGATTGGGGATGGTCCCAGGCCTCTGGGAAGTAATGAGGGAAGGAAGGCACTGCTTTGGTGATGAGCTTTTCCTCTGTGTAATTGCAGATGGAGAGGGGCTGCCTTGTCTGGGTGATAGATCTTGGCACTTCTTGTCTTGTATTTAATTACTGGAAAGCGGAGTAATAGACATTTATGTGATGAATAGATGTTATGCATTCAGGTAATTATGGCCTTAATAAAAATGACAAATGCAGATACTGTGCTGTTCAAATTTAGGATGCTGAGAGCAATCCCCTGTGCCGCCGGCTGCAGCTGAAGGATATCATTCCCACGGAGATGCAGAGGTTGACAAAGTACCCCCTTCTGCTGGATAACATTGCTAAGTACACAGGTAAAGCTTTTCCACGGGGGTTTATGATCCACCTCAGCAGGTTTTCCGAGGTAAAAACAATTTCAAAGCATGTGTTGAAGAACTGTTCAATTTTTCAGCTGCTGTGACCTCGCTGCTGCCTTCTGCACAGGAGGGCAGGCTGAAAACATAACCAAAAGGAAAATCCTTTGTATGCCAAAATACAAAGTATTTGTTCCTTCTTAGGGGAAATTCACTGTGAAATAAGTGAATCTGTTGAATCTTTATCACAAGGTTCTCGTGTTCTTGCAGAGGGTGGGATTTAGTTAGAATGTGTTACACTGAAAGATTCCAGCACAACAGTGTGATTAATAATATCACAAAAAGCCTTTCCAGGTTTACTGTCTGATACCTTCTGCTGGGTAATTTAATTACTCATCAAAAATAGGCTGCATTTACAAGTTCACCCTAATCATAATTAGGAAAGCATGTGACACTCCATTATCTTTGATGAACTGGTTTATGTGCCTGTTAACTAAATTCTTGGTGTGGCTCGTGGTAGTGACAATTGATGGCTTCACCTGTGTCTGTTCCCTCTGTACCACAGTGGAGTGTTGGTGAAGATTTTGGGTTTCTCAGAGTCCTGCTCAGGTTATTGTGCAGTGAGTAGTTGTCACAAGCCCCTTCAGAAAAGGGAGTGTGCTGTGTATGAAGATCTGCAGCTTGGAATGAATTATCTCCTGCCACAGATCTTATTTTTATCACTTCACCTCTGCAGTGGCACCTTTTGTTGATAGACTTGTCTGCGAGTTTAACTTCCCTTTCTCAAATTTGAGGTCAGCAAGCTGCACCAGAGTGCTGATTTCTCAAACCTCTTTTGGGAAGTGTTGTTACATCCCCTTCTTCTCTCGCAGAACTGCCTGAGGAGAAGGAGAAAGTCAAGAAAGCAGCAGATCACTGTCGTCAGATCCTCAACCACGTGAACCAGGCTGTCAAGGAGTCAGAGAACAAGCAGGTAGGAGGTGACAGAGTGAGCACTGAGGGCTGGGGAGAACAATAAGCTGTTTAAGGCACCTAAAGTCACTCTACTTGTGACTTTATGCTGCGCTTAAAGATGTTTTGTGGCACCTGGGAGAGGAGGATCCCAGAGTTTGGGAGTGTGTGGAGGTACCCATGGGTGTGTTCATGGAAGTATTCAGGCCTGCACTGTGACACCAGTGACACTGTGACACCAGGGAGTTTTGCTGCTCAAAGTGACCTTTTTTGGTGTGTTCTCTGCAGCATTTGGAAGATTACCAGCGTCGGCTCGACCTGTCCTACCTGAAGCAGTCTGAGGATCCCATGATGGATGAGTTCAGGGTGAGTTGAAAACATGAAAACCCATCTCTTTGTAAATTGTGTTTGCAGTCCTGCCATTCAGTTTGTGCTAATTTCTACCACAGCCTTCCGATGTACAGGCAAGTGGTCGTCAGAGGTAAATAATTCTGTACAAAAATGAAAACATTTAGTCTCAAAAATGTGAGTTTTGCCACCTTCCTCAAGATCTCTGTGGATGTAACAACCCAGTTCTGCACATAATGGTGTTAGTGGAGCTGGTCAGCTCTGGGCAACAAATCTGGGTGGTCAGAGCTCAAGCAGTGTGTCCCATAAGAGATACCTGATGGGTGATGAGTCGTATTGGGGATTATATCTCATGTGATGGCACATCTAAGAGTGCTGTTGGAAGTGGGGAGGCCTCAGAGAGCCATGAGGTGTAGCAGTGCACTTGGCTTTAAGAGAAGAGCTTGTGTACAGGCTCGTTGCTCCCCCAAAAGCCAGTGTGTAGCCAAAAGAATTTTAATCTGGAGACTTTTCTGTAAAACTGTGCCATGTATCCTTCCCACAAATAAAAAACTTGCAGGCATTCAGAGAGGAAGTGAACAACTCGCTGGCAGTTATGAAATCTTGCTGTCATTGATTGTAGACTCTGAGACTTGGAAGGGATGAATTGTGAAAATTGTCACTTCTGCCTGCAGATCTAAATGTCACAAGCACTGAAATGCCTGAAGAATCCATTGACATTATAAATTCCGTCAGATCATTGGGATGATTTGTATATCATTTTGTAGGCACACTTGACTTGCAAATCAACTGCTGAAGCATTAACCAGTTGTAATGCTGGAACTGCAAACTTGATGCAGGATAGTGGAAAAGCTCCTCCTAGGAAAAGGGTGGCATCCTAATGCCTTAGGAGCTTGGCTTGGTGGGAAAATCCTCCACCCCTGTGACACTCAGCATCTGCAAAGGAGCAGTGAAAGAGGAAGAGTGATAGCAAACATCTCTCACAACATTTTGGGTTCCACTCACAACCTGCTTTCTTTTCCCAGACTGGGTTCTGCTGCTTCTCTCCCAAGTGGAGTCCCTCTGGCAGCCCAGTGTTTTATCATGACTTGCTTCCATGGAAATTTCATAGTGCTCCTTTTTTTTTTTTTTGTCTTTCCCCTGGTGACAGAACTTGGACCTAACAAAGAGGAAAATGCTCCATGAAGGGCCTCTGACTTGGAAGGTGAATCGTGACAAAACCATTGGTGAGTCTGTGCCATCCCCTGGCCTTCCCTGGGTCTGTGTGTGTGCTTGCTGGGAAGGAGAGAAGGAGAAAGCATTGCTCAGCTCCCAATTATTCTTCTTGCTGCCACATGTAATAATGCCTGTGTGCTCCTCAGAGCTGATTAAATTATTCTTGTCAATTCTGAAATGTGCTGGAGCATCATTAGGGCCATGCAGGGACACAGCAGTCAGTCTTGAGATGATCCAATTCCATCTGTAGCTTTCTGCTGTAGTTTTCACGAGGAAGATTTGCAAGCTTTGCCTGGAATGGCACAGCACTGATTGCTGCCTCTGCATGAGTAATCAAAAATGCTGCTTTTTGCCTTCTGCAGGGGTGTGATAGGAAACTCTGAGTCTTTAACTCATCCTGGGTTCTTTTTGCACTCTGGGCAGATCTCTACACTCTGCTGCTGGAGGACATTCTGGTGCTGCTGCAGAAACAAGATGATAAACTGGTGCTGAAGTGCCACAGCAAGATCTTGGCCTCCACGGCCGACAGCAAACACACCTTCAGCCCCATCATCAAACTCAACACCGTTCTGGTTCGTCAGGTGGCAACAGGTCAGTGTGCCCCACTGAGGAGGCAAAAGGAGCAGCCAAAAATAAAGCTTAGCTCAGCTGGGGATGGAAGTTTCTGCGTAGAGATCCAGAGTAGAACACGGGAAACTGCGTGGGCTTAATTCTTGGTTGTCCAACATCGTGCTTAGTATGTATGAGCTGTTTAACTCCTCTGCATCGGTAATAGGCATTGCTGGGGTTTTAAATAGGCTTCTAAATTAAAGTACTCTGATTGTGTTAGATGAAAGGTACTCTGCAAATTATTAGGAGGGAACAGAGGAGAAATAAAGCTTTTTCTAAATGGCTTTTTTTTTTTTAAATTTTTTTTTTTTTTGAGGACAAATTTCCTGGATAGGGCAAGGTCGATGTGTCCATAATTATAGTGCTGGAGGGTTATCTCATGAACTGTTCTGTCCTTGCTTTGGGCCGGGGTTATGGCTTGTTTTAGGACTTTTCAGAAAGCTGTGTGGCACAGGGCACCTCATTAAACCCTTCCTTCCCTGTGCTGATGCAGATAACAAAGCTTTCTTCGTCATCTCCATGTCGGAGAACGGCGCTCACATTTACGAGCTGGTGGCACAGACTGTCTCCGAGAAGAACGTGTAAGTAACTGGTTCAGCTCCAGCTGCTGCTTGGTTTGGTGTCCTCCAGAGGTGTTTCAGTACCTGAGCAGGTCCTGAGTTCCTCCTCTAAGCAAAAAGCACAGCTATGATGATCTAAGTCTCTCCTAAGTTGGAGAAAGCAGGAGAGGGTGAACACACACATATTAGTGAGCATGGGTATTAAATGTATTAAAAACCCCAAACCCACACAGTGTTTCTGTTGTTGTGTTTGCTCTCTGACTCGCTCCAGACCTGTTCTGACCTTAAAAATGCCTTTTTTTTTTACCCTTGAAGTTCTGGTTTTATGTGACTGACTGCCAGATTAGATGAAATAATCCTGCATCTTCATGCAGAACCAGGTATCTCTGCAGACTTGGATGCTGGCATCATAAGCAACCCCAGTGCAGGAATTAGATTCCTTGGCTAAAAGATTTTATTTCATTTTTGGTAGAAAATGCTTTTCTTCTGAAGTGTAAGACTTACTCATGGGATACACGGCAAGTTGTCATATGTCATGTATGAAACTCTTCAGTAATAGGTGAAATAATGCTTTTTTATATATTTATATATAAAATAACTGGTTTATCTGACAACTGCTAAGGTCCTGTCTATCATTTCCTTCTGCTGAAAAGTATCCTGGTGAGGTGAGTGTTCACCTGTGATTGCTGGGCATTACTGGGGAATTGAATGCAACAGAACTTTAACAAAAGCTGTTTCTGTTGATCAGAAAAGCAGTAATGTATTAGCTGGATTTAAGAGGTGTTAAACAGAAAAGAATTCATTATGCTTCACTTGTTGCATGTCTTTATTTGATGTTTCTGCTGCAGGTGGCAGGACCTTATAGCCCAGATGGCAGGGACTGTGAAAATGGGGAGTGCCAGGAGAGTGATTCCATTACCACAGTCAGGCCCTGGAGAGTAAGTAAAAGCTGGAGGAGGAAGGGCTGCTTTTCCTTTTTCCAGCTCAGAGATTGGCAGCCAGAGCAGGGATTCTCCTGCAGAGGCTCAGATCAATGCGACTAAAGGAACGTGTGCTGGTTCTTCCCTCCCTGCAGGGAGGAGCGTGAAGAAGAGGAGCAGCAGAAGCTCAAAGAGCAGCACGACATTCCTGCCAGCAGCCTCCAAAGCCCAGGTAAAAACCAGGGATTCGGGTAAATGGGCTCAGTGGATGTGCTGCGTGGAGTGCAGATGTGCCAAACCATATTTCCTCCTGGCTTGGAGATCTTGGGTGTTTTTTTCTGGGAAGGAACGATTCCTTCACAAGTCGTGTGGAGAAGTGATACTGAACCTCTTGGAAATGCACCTCTGACCCATTCCCCTCTGTTTCATATTTGACATGGCTGTTTAACCCGAATGTCTGTTGTCTGTTCACCAGATAAAGATTTGGGACTGGAATCTCCCTTAATGCTGAACGCTCAGTCCTCCTCACCCATCATGTCTGAGAAGGCCAAGGTGGAAAGTCTGCTGGTGTCTGAAGGGCAGTTTGAGAAGGTGCAGCAGGCAGAGCTGACGCTCAAAGACTCCTCTGCAGGTTATGAACACACAGCCACCAGTTCCCCCTCGCTGTCAGAGGGGCAGTGGGCACGGGATGCATTGAGGAACTGTGAGTATCCATGGGCAGCGTCCACTGGGATGTGATTTTAGAGCTGGAAATCGTTAGGTCAGCCATCAGTGATCTAAATTAAAATCAAAAGCCTGTTCCTATTAATTATCAGTGCTCCCTGTGCTGTATTTCACAGCAAAAATGGATCTGACAGCCAGGAATTTGAAGTTCTGGATTCATACTTTGACCCTTCCCTTGGCTTCAAGGCGTCTCATTGTTTTCCTGTGGTTTTCCCACGCTTAAAATGATGGTGTTAATGAATTGTTGCTGTCCATGGAGTGCTTTGAGGACAAAATTATATTGCAGAACTTAGTGCAGTGCTGGACAGTGCCATTGCTGGTCAGCAGTGAATTTTTAAGACAAGGCAGTCAGCTGTGGACTTCTGTCCTGCTCCACTGCTATGGAAATGGGAGGTTTCATGATTTTTGACTCTTTTTTTTTTGTAAAATCCTGAAAATTGGATGTATGTGAACTTGACAAAGTCCAAGTTCTGATTTCCTGAGGACTTGGAGGTGGTTGGGTATAATTAGATCAACACTTGTATGTGTTAAAAAGTTTTTCTGATGGACAGATTATTCTTTAAAGTAGTTTATAGAAGATTTTTAATCACTTCCTCTGTTCTCCAGTAAATCTCCTTTCAGAGGAATAATGCAGGGCTCTGCAACCTACTCCATCAGCTCTAGCTGTGCAATTCCTAAATAGAACTTCCTAAAATTTGAATGAATTCATTAATCCATATATCTCTTCTTGGCAACTCCGAAAGGGACACTCAGTCCCTCTGTTGTACTTGGGGGGAAGACTCTCTATTGCTGCTCTGTGGGCTCTTTGCTTCTCCCAAAACGCAGAGCACTCATATCCTTGGCCCCAGTTCTTCCCTCTGTAGAAGTAATGACAGTTCTCTGCAATATCTGAGTTACCTTGGATCTCTTAATCCATTTATTCTTCTTCTTACAGGACTCAAAGTCCCTTTCTGACTGTGAATGTTACAGAAATTCTCTTGGTATTTGTTTTCAGAGGCCAGTGCTAAAATAATCTTAGTCTGGGGGTGTGCAAGGACAGTATTAGTGACCTTACACCATCTCCTGACTGCTCAGAGTTTGCAGCTCTCCAACAGCACCAGAGGGTCACTCAAGTTTTGAGATGAGTGACTTTTCCTTTGCATGACATCATAGCTTTTTTTTTTGGGGGGTGTGACGAGAGCACTCTCTGTGGAGAGGATGAACAGTTATACTCTTGACAGCATCCCAGCTTTGTTTTGAACAATATGTCCTTATTTTGAAGTGTTTGGTTGGGATAATTTGAGAACTAAAGGAATGTGGGTTGAAGTTCAAACAGGCATAAATTTGCATGAAATTTTAGGGAAAACATTTCTTCAGGTGTTTTTTTTTTTTTTTTTTTTCCTGATCTGTCATTTCAAAATCGAGTGGAATAGTCACAAGATGCTCCTTCCTCAGGTGGGAATCCCCTGTCACAGCCACAGCTGTTTTGCAGGGTAAAACCCAGGCACTCCAGCTAATTCCAGTAGACAATTCCTTTGTTTTTCCTCTAAGAAGATGGAACTGGCGCTGACATGTTTGCTCTCACTTATAAGGTGAAATGAGCAAGACCTGAGCCCTTCATGCATTTATTTTTATCCCTGTTTCTCCTACCAAGAGCAGCGAGAGGAGGATGCACCTTGGCTGAAGGGGTGACCTTTTCGTCTGGTTTAATCACTGTGAACGTTGCCTGTCCTTGCAGTGGGTTTGCTGAGGCAGCTGTTGGTGCAGCAGTTTGGCCTGGCTGAGAAGGGGACCCTGGAAGAGCGGCAGCGCTTCCCCAGGTTCAGGACTGTCTCCCAGGAGAGCGGGAACGAGCTCCAGCACTCCGACAGCGACAAATTCCAGCCTGGATCGGACAGAACGCCTCCCAGAACTGAGGAGCCCACAGCTGGTTATGGCCTCCGGACTTCAGCTGAGTCTCCAGCCCCAGGGGATGCCATGCAGCTGGTGGGGAGAGACCCCAGGCCCGGTGGGAATTTGGGAACGGACCGTGGGAGCGCGACCCTGGAGGCGCCCACCCCGGAGCTGGAAGGGGTGGGGGCCGAGGAGAGCGGCGAGCACTTTTTTGATGCTCGGGAGGCTCACAGCGATGAAAACCCCTCTGAGAGCGAACTGATGGAGAGGAAGGAGGAAGAGGAGGTGCAAATACGGATCTCAGGTGAGGTTCAGGATGAGGAGCCCCTCCCTTGCTTACCTTAAAGTCAGCTCTCGACCTTGACACGGCATTTCAGCTCTAAAGAGGGCTGTGCAGACATGGACCTGATTAATTCTCTGGTTTGGGAAGGCAGAGGCTGCAGTGCTGTGGGGTTAACGCGCTGTGACACACCGGAATTGTACAATCCAAGCTCTTGATTGCACTTTCCCTGGACCACTTTCATCCCTCAACTGGCTGTTGGGACGTGCAGGGAAAAGGTTTTCCCTGAAGGCAAAGCCCTTTTTTTAAGCCCCCATGACTCATGGTGCCATTTTGTGTTGGCTTCTCCTGATCAAGCTTCAGAAAAGAAAAGAATTCAGCTTTGCAGTGTCACAGTCTCCTGTGACCTCACCCCAGTCTGAAGCTCTTAAAAGCTTATTATTTGTGTTATTTCTGTTATTATTGCTACATATGGCATATTTGGCAGGTTTCTGTCACTAAACTTACTATAGAAGCTGAGGTTTCTCTCATGTGCATGCTGTGTGGAAGTAGCTGCTATTAGGTAGATCCAAGACTAATAGTCATATAGAAATCTCTTACCCATAAATACGCTTTTATTTAAAAATTGGATTAAATCCATGTGAATAAGCCAATTTGTGACTGCCCGAGTGCTGCCTTCCAACTACATATTGCAAATAATTTTTCTTGCTGAGACACCTTAAATTATTAAAACTGAGCCAACAACTTGAAGCATCTAATTTATTTGTCACCTCTTTACACTGTTTACTTTTTTAACTGTGCAGGGACATCAGAATTAGATTGATCTGTTTTTAGTCAATTCTGACTCCACGTGCTGGTTTTGCTGGGGGGGAAATTATTTGGTAGAATCCTGCCAGGCGCAGGTTGTGAAAGCATTTCTGTCTGTCATTGCTTTTATTTTTTAACAAATCAGCAAGCTCAGTTTT